AGGACCGGAGCCGCAACCCGCGGCGCAGCGCGGAAGGGCGGAGGAAGCCCCGCCGCAGCGGCCAAAGTAGGCCCTTGAGAGTACGCTGGATGAAGAACTGTTGGAGCGAGAAGGCCCGGTCAGTGAGATGCTGCTGAACGACTTCCTTCGGGAGTACGTTGGGGGGCAATTACGCCGTGGACGACGACGACAAGGTTCCGATGGGGCTGTTTGCGCGGAGGCCGGACGAGTACGTCCCAGACCTGGAGCTTCTCGAGAACATTACTAATTTACCAGCGTCCCAGCCGTACGCTCTCCGTGAAGAGTTGTGCGGGCTAGTGGAGAGAGGGGTGGTCACGCTCCGACGCTGGAGGGGATATGCGTCGTGGTATAGGCTCTCCAGTGCGGCGTCGAACAAACCCGAACCTGCCCTTGAGGTGGCGGAGGCAGAAGCGGCAAGACGGGAAGAAAAGGAAATGGCAAAGCGGGGGGAGGAAAACCACAGACGACCGATACCAGAGGGTTTCTGCGACTCGGTGTTCAACGCGAAATTGAGCCACGTCTTGGGGTTTCCCGAGGGCGCGGGGGACGAGATGGCGGTGCGAATGGAGGCGCGTGAGGGCCAAGCGCCAAAAAGGTCGTGGGAATTCATGCCCGATGGCGCAGGCTGTTTCCTGTTGAGTGGCATTGACCAGTTTCGCCCACCGCACCCCGGCTGGTGATACTCACCTCCGAGCAGGGGTGGCTCTCCTCGCTGCAGGGGGAGGCAGCCACCACCGACTGCTGCGTCACCGCTGAGGTGGGGCGGGTGTGACAGAACATCAAATACGATCTGGAAGACACTTTCAGGCAAAACGAAGACCAAGAACAGCATGAATTGAAATTGTTTTCCCTGCTTGGGACGGACGGGGTAGAGCGGTGGATGAATGCCGGCTCCTACCTCCTCTACCAGCTGCTGCACTACGATGACTACCCAAAAGATTTTGTTCTCTACTGCCTTGGAGGAGAGTTGGCGTACATGTTTGACAAGGAAGAGGAAACGGTGACGGAATACAAGGGCGCGAAGAAGATCAAAGAAACTGTGAGGCATTTGGAGTGCCGGTGGAAAGGGTTTATTATCTACGACGCGGCGGAGGACGGAGGGGCGTCGTTAGGCTTCCAGCCTTATGGATGTGGGATGATTGTGTTGAAATCCCCAAACGGAAAAAGCTTCGGAGGATGGGTGCGGAGAGAGGGCTGCAGTAACCCCACCCTGAGTTGCCCTCGCGAGGACGAGGTGAAGGTGATGTGTGCCTGGATGAAGCGTGGCCGCCCCGCGCAGGAGCAAGCGGACTACTGGGAGACGGTCAAACAGCGCATGCAGTTTGTCGGGCCGATTCCGCGTTACATCTTCACTGATGCTGATTTCAATGGGCGCCCTGCGGCGCTTGGGAGCGTCCTGCAGGCGATTGACGCCTCGGTTGCCCAACGCTACTTTTCTGAGGTAGATGATAAAGTGTGGAGTGCGAAGAATCCGCTTTGGAAGCTTGTGAAAATTGAGCGGGAACGTCGCGGACGCTATTGCAGCGTCGTTAGCATCGTACCGGCGTGTGGCCACATCAGACAAAAGCTATTGGACCGTTTGTGTGAGGTACTGACCCTCAGCGAGGCTGTCTCGCTATTAACGTGGGGTTCTCGCCTTTCTTAAAAGCTCCAGAAGCCGTGCGCCCCGGACCCACACACACACACACGCTGGGGGTGGAGCGTCTCCTGCGGGCGTGGCAGGAAAAAGAGAGGCTCGCGCGGGGCTGCGGCCGCCAACGGGACGGCAGGCAAGGCGCTGCGTGTTGCAGGCGGGTCCGGCGTCGCGTGCCGGGGAGGGGCTCAGCGGCGGGTGCGCATCACATTACCGCCGGCACAGCGATGCAGCAGCCCGGAGAGTAAATGACGAGGTGCATATTTTAAGCGGTTTGGAAAACTGTTTCCGATGGGTGTTCGTAGGGGATAGTTAGTTTGCGTGCAGAAAGTGCGGCAACAGACACGCGGCGCGGAGTTGCCGCAAACCCATTGATTTGGGCGACGCGGGCCGTCGGAATGCTGCGGTGCGTTGTGGGGAGAAAAAGGGAGTGCCGGGGCCGGTGGGGGGAGTTGGGGGGAAGTAAGCAGGGGACTGCAGTAGCGGAGGGCGTTTGTACGGAAGTGCCAGAAGGGGCTATTTTTAGTGTTTTTGTTTGTATTTACCTGCGAGCGCGAGGCATAACCGGCGGGTTGCCCTGCTGCGGGAAAGGAAGCGCCGTGCCCCGTGCCCTCGCAGCAGAAGTACTGTTTTCAGTTCCACTTTTTATTTGCTTTTATTTTTGTTTCCACCTCCGGGGCACTACCAAAGACATCTGCGTGGGGCGGAGGCGGAATATATTTCGCCCCGTGCGGCTGCAGTGCGCCGCGTGCGCTCATTGGGCTGCTGCCGCCGTCTTGTTTTCTTCATTCCCTCCCTGCTCTCGCTCTTTGCCGCCTCCACCCCTCTTTTTTATCTTGCCGCTTCCTCCCCGTTGCCTCGCAGCTCGCTGCGCCCCAGCGACTCTGTTGCTGCTGCCGCCGCGACGGTGCTGACGGTGCGGCGGCTGCTGCCCCTCCGCCTGCGGGGCGAAGGCGGCGGCCACGAGGGAGACGGAGGCGGAAGTGCCGGCGCGGGCACCAACGGAAAGTTAAGTTGGCGCTTTTGCGGCGAGAGCACCTGGACACTGAGCGGGAAGTTGCTGCGGTGGGAAAGTAAGTATTGGCCGTTTACTTTTGTGCGAGGACGCCGAAGAACAGTACGAGGAGTGGGGGTGTGCCACGGCGTGTGCTGAAGCCAACGAGGGCGGTGTTGCGTTCACGACGCAATTTGGGCGTGGCCAGGCAAAGAGAGGGTGGAGTTTGCAGGGACCGGCCGACACCAAGCAACACCGTCGTCGCCCTCTCTGATGAGCCAGACATTTGCCGGCCACCGCTCA